TGTTTTGTTATTAATCACTATGCTTTATGTTCAATTTATAAGAATGAAAATACATCCTGCATATCAGATATTTACATGACGATTCATAACAGTAGCAAAATGACAGTTATGAAGTAGCAACGAAAATAATTTTATGGTTGGTGGTGACCACAACATGGGGAACTGTATGAAAGGGCCACGGCATTAGGAAGGTTGAGAACCACTGCTCTAGAGGATATGTAGGGAAACTACAGCTTTACACTTTAACAACAGTTTCTGTGGTTTTATAGCAATACTTTTTGACTTATCTTTGCACACGATTAATCAGCGATGTCAGTAACAAAACTATAATATGCATATCTCTTCACAATATTTTATGCCAAAAATAGGAAAAACAAAACAAAACAAAGAAAACAAAACTCAATTTCAAGAAATTTCTAGAAGGGTCACCTCATGTCTTGCCAAGTAGACTTGCCAAGACCAAAAAATTGAATCATCTCATTGTTTAGTCTTTCCCAACTAGTGTGATTTTGCAAATCACTTTGTTTTCGTATGAATAATATCTCCAGGTGCCTTCATTTTAAGAGGAAGCTGGGAAATAATTAAGTGCTGATTATGGGAACAACCTGATGTCTTCTGTGGATGAGGAATACGAAAACCGAGCATGTATGTAGTCTCAGTGCCAGAAGAAACGTGGTCTTCAGAAGCCAGCGAAGACAAACAGGCTACTAAATAGGGGGTTTAAAGGTATTTGTCTCTGTGGCATTGGGCCAGTGCAAAAGTCGGCTTCTCTCGTAAGAAGACTATGTTGGCAAGGTCCATCTTGTTTCCCAGAAGAATTTTTGCGATGGGAGTGATAACGCTTTCAGGTGTGGCTAGTGTATTGGGCGCATTTTTTTTCCTTTTGGGGAATTAAAACTGGCCTGAATTTCACTGAAAATCCTGCCTTTTTGTTCCCATTGGACACTAAAATCAAAGGGGTAAGATAAAGTTGAAATGTGTTTTGAGAATTTCTAGCATTGATGTAGGCAATTTCACATTGGTAGCTGAAAGAGTACAAAATACAACAATCAGATAAGGTATCGGCATACCCTGGTAAGTCATAGTGTCTTTTGAATGTTTAACAGAGCAAGATTTAAATGGCAAAGGCATGTGCTCTAAAAGTCCTGGGGAAATTCCTAAACGAGTCTTTAAAAGTTTTTGAAGCAACTTACTGGTTGCAGGAGAAGTGTTTTCTGTAATAATATGAATAGTATGTTTTATTTTCTAATTCCAGGTTCCTGAAAGTCCTTGCGTTTCCTTTTCTTTTTATATCTTCTCATTAAGAAAAGGGTCAAGGTCAACCTCATGAGACACTCCATTACAGAGTTGGTAACATATGTTAACCAACAACGCACTCACAGCCAGCATGTCAGAGCCAGAACACAGTGATCCTGGAGGGCAAGGTAGAATTGCCCCCATGAGTTTCCAAGAGTGTAAACATTTATGGGAATAGAAAGTCCAGTCTTTCTCCTTCAGAGCTGGCTTGTGGTTTTGAACAGCTGACCTTGAGGTTAGAAACCCAGGGCGTCAACATTACACCACCAGGACTTATTAAACACAAGATAAACAAAAACAAAACAAAACAAACCCTAATCCACTGCTATAGAAGGAATTCCAACTCACAGCAACCCTATGTAGGGTTTATGAGGCTATACATCTGTATAGGAGCAGATAATTTCACCTACCTCCCACAGCAGGTGTAAACTGCCAACCTAGCTGGTAGCCGCCCTGCGCTTACCTCACAGCAATACCAGACACTCAGGGGGAAATACATTTTAGTTGGATGACTATGTGCATATATTATGCATATTCATAGAACTTGGGAAGGAGGAGTTTATGACTTTAATTCACTAAAAGATAATTTTATCTTCTCTACAATATGTTTCTTGCTTCACAAAAAAGTTGCTACCTAGAACTTCCATCCGTGGAATTATTCCAGACATTTAAATCCAGCAAAAGTGACTTACATGTTTCTAAATGCATATGACCTTAATTCCTCTCTGCAAATTATTGAGAACATCTTTACTGTTTTTCCTGTTTGCAATTATAAGCTTCGATTGACAAGTGCTATAGTGAACAAGACATGGCTTTCCAAAAGTCAGATGGTCCTTAGAGAAACTCTACTAATGGTACCTTTAGCTATGATCACAAGTAGCAATGGAGTTAGGAGGAAGAGCCAGGTCCTCTGTTCAAACAGAGGCAATCATTGGCCATAATAACCTGAATATGGTGCTCTTCCTCTGGTACCAGGTGCCTGGAACTGATGCCAGGTGCCTGGAACTGATGTCAAGCAGTGTGAATTCTCGGGTATATGAGGTAGCTAGCAAATCAAAGACTTTACAGGTAGTCCCTTGGTTAAGAACATCTGATTTACGGACACATAATACTTGCCCTTTAATATCTGTAAATCTGCTTTCAGTATGAAAGGGTTGAATCAACCCCTGCTTGCAACAGATTCTTCATCACAACCACCTTCCCTTGCTGCCTAAGCAGCTTTTACATCATAGAAAAGGCTTCCAGTCTTTCCTTGCATAGAAACAAAGCCAAACTCACCATCGATTGTGACCCACAGTGACCATATAGAACAGAATACAGCTGCCCAGTGGGTTTCCAAGACTGTAACTCTTTACGGGAGTACATAGTTTCATCTCTCTCCTGAGGAGCACTTAGTGGTTTTGAATTGATAACTTTTCAGTTAGTAGCCCAAATGGAACCTTCTATCCACCAGGTTAACAACCATTAAGTACCACTTCCGACTCACCTACAGATTCTTAAAGACAATGAGACAGATATTTTTCATACTGCCTATACAATATCTAATTCAAAGCAACCAAGAATTTTCCTAACACCTCCTCTGAAAATACAAATAACCAACAACCACAAATATTTGCATTTATAAATATCAAATAAAAACCAGGTAAAAAGTGCCAAACTAGAACTTGGTAGATACATGTCTATTTAAGAACTGTGCAAACCTGGCCAATAGGAACATGTGGGATTAATCAGGTTGCAGTTTGATTAGAGGGCAAAAAGATAAATGGCCCCTCCTGCAAAGCCCGCCCCTCTCTCTTGCTCTCTGGTGATCAGAGCATGCTGGAGCATGCATGCTGCTGCTGTAGTTAGTTCTCTGCCTCACCCTGTGAGCTATTTATCTCCGTAGCACCTCCAAATGAGGTCATCAAGCTGCAACCTGATTGACAAGTTAACCTCCACCCTTTCACGCTTAATAGTTTCAAGTTGACACCAGATTACCGTATTTACTCAAGTATAACCTGCCCTGATATCAGGTGAGGCACCTAATTTTACCACAAAAACTGCATTAACAATGAGCCCCCAAGAAAATGATTTTTTTAAAATGTGCTGAAAAAACTCGGCTTATACTGGAGTATATATGGTATGTAACTACCACAGGAGTCTATTTCAAAATTTAAGAACCAAAGGAAAGATTTGGGAGCAGAACTTCTACTTTTCAAGGTTTTCTAGAGAAGTGTGTTGCTGCTGGTGTTGCTACCAGTCATTGAGTTGGGCCCTGATACATGGTGACTATGGACACAACAGGAATGGGCCCTTGTGCACTTTATTGGCTGTTTTTTCAGACGTACATCTCCAGGTCCTTTCCCCCAGTCTGATCTGGAAGCTCCACAGAAGCCTGCTTAGCATCTCAGCCACACTCTAGCCTCCAGGAGGGTGAGGGCTGACAGTTGGATGATGACTACATTGAGGTGCACTGACCAGGAATTGAACCTGGGTCCCCTGTATAAGTTAGACTTGTACCCCTGAATCACCATTGTCCCTGAGAAATGTATTAGCCACTGTCCTTGAGAAATGTTTTATTTGCCAATACTTCAAAAGAGATTAAGTTCTGTTTCTTTCACCTAAGGCCAAGGCTGTATGAGTAAGAGAACAGGGTCTTGTGAAGAAAATGCCTTCAAAGTCCACACATTAACTTGAGCATCTTCTTCTAAATATTCAAATATTGCCTTAGGTCAGTGATTTTCAACCTTCCTAATGCTGGGACCCTTTCATACAGTTCCTCATGTTGTGGTGACGCCGCAACCATAAAAGTATTTTTGTTGCTATTTCATAACTGTAATTTTGCTACTGTTATGAATTGGGTGACCCCTGTGAAAGGGTCATGACCACAGGTTGGGAACCGCTGCCTTAGGATCTCAAATACTGAGGTTTTTTTTTCCCCTCTTAGCTGTTTAATTTTATTATCTTTGGTTTTTCCTAATGTGTTTTTTTGTTTTATTTTTATTATGGAATCCGTGTATCATGCATAGGAGAAAGTCTGCTAAACACAGTTGCAAAACTCAATTCATTTTTAGAAAGTGAATGTCCAGGTAACCACTGCATAGGTCCAGAAACAATACAGACAGGATCCCAGAAAAGCCCTGGGTATGCTGCCTTATCACCGGGGACCCCAAGTTCCCTCCTCTCTCCCCCACCAGTTCCCCATAGCCTTCAAAGTCTGCTTCTTTGGGTGTGAAAACCAGTTTTATTTTCTATAAAACCATCTTATGCAGCGTAGGTCTTTATGAGATTACCTGACTCTTGTGAGCACAATGTCTTCTAAATTTGTCCATGTCATGAACCGTAAAAACTGTGTCTTCCAGGATTGACGGTCATGTTACAATCTGGGTTCATCTCACCAGACGCCCTCATGCTTGCATGAGAAATAAAATACAAAAACCCCAAACCCCAAGTGTGGCAAACATGTAAATGAATCCAAATTGTAAAAATGCTGCACTTTGTTTTTTCCCTTTTCATGATCACATCGACTTTAGTGGTTTCATTTTTAAAGGAAGGGTCAATTTCTAAAATTTCTTAGAAAAGATCTATTATGCATTTTTGATGAACCCTTTTAAAAGCTTATTTGAAAACCAGGCACGCAGCAGACCTCAGTGATCCTTTCTAGAACAATCCTTATTCGGAGCTGCGTTCCAGGGGTGCTAAGTGGGGCGATCTGGGAGACTTACCCGATTAAAGCAGTGCAGGTGGTTGGGCCCGTAGAAGTGCTGGAGACACCTGACGTTGTTCTTGTTGACGATCCTATGGAAGAACTCATCGACATATTTGACAGGAAAGGCACAGAGGGCGGAGCGGTCGGTGGGCTCGGCCGAGTCGGGCCGGCTCTGCGAGAACACGCCGTAGAGAATGTCGTCGTGGGCGCTGGCGCCGATCTGCTTGGCCAGTTGCGCCCCGGGCTTGCCCACGTACGCGGCCTGCAGCACGTTGAACACCTCGCTGCGCAGGGCCCGCTTGCGGCGCTTCTCGGTGAGGATGCACTCCAGGGGCATTTCCATGTAGGAGTGCAAGCCCGAGTCCGCCGAGCAGAACCTGATGATACGCGTGTGGAAGGACGGCGAGTCCAGCGTTTCTCGCTGGACCGTGAGAAAGTAAATAAAGCGGTTGCTTTCGAAGGCGTGGATGTACTTAATGGGGTAGGAGGCTTGGAACTCGGGGAGCACGTCGATGTAGGACTTGTCTGTCAGAAACTTAAAGCCATCCTGGGTCTCCTTGATCCTTCTCACTGATATGGAATGCAGTGCGTGGCCTGGGAGCGAGGAGCCATTGAGGGTGTTGCCCACAAAGAAGTTGACAAAGCGCTGCTTCTCGGCCAGGAGCACCTTGGTGCCCAGGGCACTGACCACGCAGTCGGGACACTGGCTGGCCTCGTCCTCGTCCGCCCGCGGGGAGTGCATGCAATGGACCTCCGCCTGGATGTCTGCGGGGTTATCGCGGGGCAGCACGTGCCGCTGGCAGGTGCCCCGGTGGACGCTGCCGCAGCTGATGAGCTGGTCGTCGTAGTAGGTTTCCACCAGCAGGGCCATGTTCACGTTCTCTCTCCACTGGCCGCCCGCGAGGCCGCAGGCCTGGCAGGGCAGGCAGTCCGGGTGCTCCCACACGGGCCCCGTCTTGTACTCGGAAACCTGCTGCAGGTCTCGCTCGCGCAGGACGTAGATGCTGTTGATGGCGCCCAGGAACACGTGACCCTCGTGCACCACCACGTTCTGGATGGGCGTGTCCGCGGTGAAGTTGGGCAGCCGATACCTCATGTTCACGTTCATCTCGGACTTGGCAAGGGCCTCCCTGCACTCCCCGCCGCCCTTCTGCACCAAGGTCAACAGGAGCACCAGGATGCCAGGTGCCAGCGCAGCTGGGGCCTTCATCGTGGGGAGGTGATCTGCCAAAACACATTCAAGGTGAGAGCACTTAATTGGCAGTAGAAACAAGGATGGGGGTGGGAGAGGGAGGGGGAATAGCAAGAACTATCACAAAGCTAGGAGGATTAGAAACGGGGCTTCCTAACTGGATGTTTTTCATGTGGGGTGAAAACAGAGGCCGAACCCTGGCTGGGTTCACAAAAAGGATGCATTGTGCAGTTTGGCCATGGCCTCACATTGTTTAATTTTAGAACTCCAGCCACGAACGAGTAATTTTAGGGACCTATTCTGAGAGGCAAACAATGTCATGTGTGAAGTCCATAGAGCCACTCGGTGCGAGTCATGTGGCCATCCAATGAGAACCGAACACGTTTCTTTCTTAAACCCTTACCAGTTGTTTCATGTGGTTCACTATCTGTGGTTAATGACCATGTTGGCATTTAAGCTTCCTCAGTCAAGTAAATGAACTGTGGTTTGGATCCATGTATTCTAGAAATCACAGCAGGCCTTGTTTCCTTGGGAGCATGTCGACCCAGGAGGCTAAATTTAGCTTCCTCTGGGAAGAAAACAATCATAAATTCTAGAAGCAGTATGATCACACGCTGTTTATAGGATCTCGTGTGGCGGAGGAAAGGTATGGTTAGGATTTGGCAGTAGTGAAGCTATTGTTTCAGACAGGCAAAAACTTTGTTTCACGTGAGATCACTGGGAGTCTAAAAACAGCGAGCTGAAGATGTGTAACATAAAATATAAACCTCAAGACTAAAGTTCCAGAGCTATTTCTTAGAGAGAAACCTGTCATTACCAAGTAAAATACAACACACAATTATTTGATGAAAGGAAAATATTTCTACTAAGACGCTTGAGGGGATTTGTTATTTAGTTTTATGAAACTTTAAATCCACACGTTATAAGCATTTTGAATTCTACTTATTATAGCCATGAGTAGAAAGGTAGTTTGGGAAGAAAAGGCCTTAGAATAATTAGCAACTAAATAACTGTTGCCCCGCCCCTTTTCATGGAAAGAAACATACAGCTGTTAGGAAAGGATGGAAGGATTCTCTTTACAACTTACTCAATATTACAGTTATGCCACATACCAGCCCATGTCTACAAAATCACAAGAAAATTCACTGAGCAACTCTCTTGTGCGTGGCTCTGTGCTTGCACTATGGGAAATGGGACATGGCCCCTTACCTCCAGTGAAGCTCCTACGTGGCTGAGAGATAACATGTATATGCCAACAGATGTAGTAGTTTGCATTATCATCCCCTATGTAACACGAATCAAACGCTACATGGGAGGGAGACATGATTTACATCTATTTAAGAGAACCCTGGTGGCATAGTGTGTTACATGTTGGACTGCTAACCACAACATCAGCAGTTCAAACCCACCCACTACTCTACAGAAGAAAGATGAGGCCTTGTGCTCCCTAAAGATTTACAGCCTTGGAAACCCTAGAGAACAGTTCTATTGCGTCCAATAGGCTTAATATAAAGGGGTCACTAGAAGTGAGTTTGAGTTAGAGAATGGTAGGAATGTTGTGAGGTCCAGGACAGGAAGGATAATTAGTGCCTCTTTGGCTCACCACTGTATCCCAAGTACCTGGCAATGAACCTGGAACATAGTATGTGTTACATATGCATAACATGTATGTTATATATAGGATAAATGTATAAGACATATAATAAATGATACCATGATTATTAAGAAGCTAGTTTAAAGTCGCATAGCTAGAAAGTAGAATAACCAGCGATTGACTGCAAACCTGTCTGACTCCAAAATCAAAGCTCATCTTAGTCCACTGCTTGCTAGGAGTTGGGGGCTTTGGGGAAGCTGCTGCAGAATGTCACTGATGCTCTGAGCTGGAAGATCATACATCAAGCCATGGCTGTTCTCCAGCAAGGCTTTGAGACTGGAGGCGCAGTGACTTAGGGCAGGAGGAGCCTGGGAAGACCAGCTGACAGGCTGTGATTTTTGCCACAGGCAGTAATGAGGGCAGAACCAGAACCGCAGCCCCCAAATAGACAAGAAAGGATAGGCAAGAGAAGAAATAACATTGGATGTCTAAAATGGGTGGGGTCTGCAGGCAGTCTGTGACCTGTGCAAACATGGAGTGAGTTAGACAATGAAGGGAGTTGGCAGGAGGATGTCAGGCTGAAGAAAAAGAATAAATAAGTTGCCTTGCAACCAGCTCACATCTACTCTGATGTGCCACTGTGAAATGAGAGCACAAATGCTTCACTGAAGGGACGACTCAAAGAAAAACGCCAAACCCACGGCTGTCAAGCAGATTCCAACTCATGGAGACCTTATTTATTTATTTTTCAAAACATTTAATTGGGGGCTGGTACAACTCTTATCACAATCCATACATCCATCCATTGTGTCAAGCACATTTGTACATTTGTTGCCATCATCATTCTCACAACATTTTCTTTCTACTCGAGCCCTTGGAATCGGCTCATTTTTTCCCCTTCCTCCTTGCCCCACTCTCTCACGAACCCTTGATAATTTATAAATTATTATTTTGTCATGCCTTTCACTATCTGACATCTCCCTTCAGCCACTCTTTTGTTGTCTGTCCCCCATGGAGATCCTTGTGATCAGTTCCCCCTTTCTACCCCACCTTCCTTCTACCCTCCCAGTATTGCCACTCTCACCACTGGTCGTGAGAGGTTGGTTTATCTGTACTGGATTCCCTGTGTTTCCAGTTCCTAGCTGTACCAGTGTACATCCTCTGGTCTAGCCGGGTTTGTAAGGTAGAATTGGGATCATGATAGTGGGGGAGTGGGGGTGGGGTGGGGGAGGGAGCATTAAAGAACTAGAGGAAAGCTGTATGTCTCATCCTTGCTACACAACACCTTGAAGGGCTCGTCTCCTCCCCGCGACCCTTCTGTAAGGGGAAGTCCAGTTGCCTACAGATGGGTTTTGGGTCCCCACAATGCACTCCCCCTCATTCACAATGATATGATTTTTTGTTCTTTGATGCCTGATACCTGATCCCTTCGACACTTCATGATCACACAGGCTGGTGTGCTTCTTCCATGTGGGCTTTGTTGCTTCTGAGCTAGATGGCCGCTTGTTCATCTTCAAGCCTTTAAGACCCCAGATGCTATATCTTTTGATAGCTGGGCTCTATCAGCTTTCTTAACCACACTTGCTTATGCACTCTCTTTGTCTTCAGCGATCGTGTTGGGAAGGTAAGCATCATGAAATGCCAGTTTAATAGAACAAAGTGTTCTTGTATTGAGGGATTACTTGAGTGGATGCACATGTCCATCTGCTACCTTAATATTAAACTGGCATTTCATCATCTATAAATATACTACATATGTACTTGCCTGTATTTAGACCTCTATAAATGCTCTTTGCCTCCTAGTTCTTTCCTCTATTTCCTTCTACTTTCCTCTTGTACCACTATCACACTCAGCCTTCATTTGGGTTTCAGTTATTCCTCTCTGTTACATTGCCTTACCAGGCCTCCTATACCATCCTCACCACTGCTTTTGGATCACTTGTTGTTCCCCTGTCCCTGGGTTGGTTAACACCCACTTCCTTTCCCCCTCTCCTATGTCCCCTCAGAACTATCGGTTCTGTTGTTTCTCCCTCCAGATTATTTATCCCACCTATCTTATCTAGATAGACCTGCAGAGACAATAATATGCACAAAAAACAAGACAGAGGAGAACAAAGCAACAAAACAAAACAACAAAAACCAGTGACAAAAAAAGAAAAGCCTGTAGAAAGTTCAAGGTCTGTTTGTTGACCTTTAAGAGTATTTTCCGGTTGAGTCTGATGGGGTGCCACGTCCTGACCCCAAAGTCTATTTTTGGTATTCCCTTGGGAAATCCTTGCTCTACTCCCCTTGCTGTTCTGTTGCACACCTAGTGTTTTGCCTCTGTGTGGTGGGGTCAGATTGGATGCAGTTCCCACACTGTGTCTCCAGTGTTGTCCCCTGTAGGGCTATGAGTCAGTGAGGGATGTCATGTCTTGCAGTGGGGCCGGCCATATGGTCCTCTCTGTGGATTGGCTTCTCTGAGCAGGGATATCTTCCTCAAGACTTAGTGGGCCAGGATGTGCTCCACTCTCTCTTCCTCCCCCTTCATTTGCTCCTGTGTGCTCTGATCAGACATGTTCCTCTCCCTGAGCTGTAGCTTCAGTGTTGTCCTCTGAAGTAAATTCTTCTGGGTGGAGGGGAGGCTGTCCACGTAGTTGGGATTGGGGCCGGCCCCTCAGACCTCTCTACTGGTTCCCTGCTTCATGCTGGTATGTTGCATTCACATCTTGGAGCACTGGGTTGAAGTCTGGTCCCTCTTTCCCTATGGAGATATAAACAATACCTCCCCTTGGGTGGGTTAGTGCCCTGTTCCCCCACTACCCATGTCTTCCCACCCCCCTTCTTTTTAGTTGGCTACCATATGTGTCCCTGGATTTGATCTGGCCTCTGCCATACTACCTGGTCCTCACCCCAGGAATGTTTGTAGACAGTAGCTTTTTCCCTGTGCTCTTTTTGCATTTTTTTTAAGCGTACCTCACAGCTGACTCATGTTGTACTTGTCCTTTTGTGCTTGGCTTACTTTGGTTAGCACAATTTCCTCCAGTTATTCTTGTGAGGTGATGTGCTTTATGCGTTTATCACTGCTTTTTAGTGATGCGTAGAACCCAACTGTATGTATGCACCTCAGTTTTTAAATCCAATAGTCAGTTGATGGAAATTTAGGTTGTTTCCAACTCCTTGCAATTGTGCACTGTGCCTCGATGAACACTGGAGCACAGCGGTCTGCCTTTGGTTTGTTTCTTGCTTCTTCTGGGTAGATGCCCAGTAGGAGGATTGCTAGGTTGTATGATAGCTCAATTTCCATCTGTTTTAGATATCGCCAAATCGATTTCCATAGTGGCTGTATATACCTATAGGTCCACCAGCAGTGGATGAGAGTTCCTATCTCACCACAGCCCCTCCAACACTTGTTGCTTTCTGTTTTTTTTTAATTGGGCTATCTTTGAAGGTGTTAGG